GAAAAGAATCTCGCACCTGGAGTTCCTGATCGGCTCCAAAGTATTTGTTCTTGCTAAGCATATTCGATCTACTCATCCTACTGAAAAATTCTCTGAAAAATATCTTGGTCCTTTCAAGGTCATCAGTCGACCTGGTACTTTGTCTTACGAGCTCAAGCTCCTGGACTATCTTCGCCGAATCCATCTGGTCTTCCATATCTCACAGCTGGAGCTGGTTACGCCGAACCCATTCCCGGATCGTACTCAATCTCCTCCACCTCCAATTGAAGTTGATGGTGAAGAGGAGTACAACATTGCCAAAATCCTGGACTCCAAGCTGGACAGAAGGTATAAGTGTTGTCCCCTACGTTATTATATTCGGTGGGCCGGTTACAAAGGTACCAATGATGAACTACATGCTGATGAACTGGTCCCTGCATTCCATGCTCGATACCCTTGAAAACCTGGACCTTGATCACAAAAAATCATTTTTATTACTTTCCCCGAAATTCCATTCTCCACAGAAGTTTACTTCGTTGCATCGAGAGGGTAAACACAATGATAGCAAATTGAGTGTTTATCCTCTTCCTATTATTGCTTACTCTCTCTTTCTTACTTATATTTTATTCACAATTACAACTACTTATACTGCAACTAATTATTTCTTATGCTGCTTCGCGGCCCGTTCATTTTCAGACGCGATAACTTTTTATATACAAAAACCAAAAAGCCAAAAAGATGTTACAAGGACAAGAAGACTACAAGAGGAGGCCGAAGGGCCAAGGTCCGATGTTCCGTCTTTTCTACTCTACTCCACCCTCTCCTTTCCCTTCTCCGAATGTGCCATCTCCTCTTTTACTATCTCCTCCTCCTCTCCCTCTTAATCCTTCTCAACGGTCCTGCCATCGCCGGTCCTTCACCCATACCCATCATCGCCATCCTTGTCTCCATGGATATGAGCCGGGTGTGGTCATCCTCCTGTCTCCTCAGCAGCTGACGGAGGTACTGTTGGGACTTTGAATTAGCCTCTCATAAGGCCCGGAGGTTGGCGAGTCCCTGCACCATCTGACTCTCCATTACAGCAATGCACTCGCCGGAGCCACCTTCCCGCTGTTTTGAGATCATAGGATGCCCCGAGTATGAGCACCTTACTTTGGCATTGTGGCAGGGCTTACAAATGATAGAACTCCTCTTGCCTATGGCAAGGGAGTTTCTTGTTTTTGCACCATTTGCAAGGCGCTTGGTCCTCTTCGTCGTCATCGTCATTGTTGTCTCCGTCATTGCCATCATCCGGGTCTCCGCCAACTGGCTACAAACAGGAACATCAGTAAGAAGTTTGGAACTGGAAGCTTCGATATTACGCCGCTAGTCCCCAGAGATCGAGAGTAGAGAAGAGAGGAGCCAGGAGCAGCCAAGTTGGAGCAGCAGTATTGCCAGTGATGAGGAGTGAACCAAAGAACTTATAAGTCCTAAGGCCAGAAGACTAAAGATTGACAAGAGTACAGGGAAGTCTCAAGCCGGGGATGTGAAGAGGATAACCTCAGTTGGAAAGGGAATCTAGGTTGATAATTAAACTGAGGAACTACAGTATCATACAGGCAGTATTTATATCTACGGATCGGCGCATCGGTGCGGAGTGCCAGACTAACTACTAGGAGCTATACGAGTAGTACCTGCAGGGTAGAGCAAAAGACAATAAGGAGAGACTAGAATGAAAGGGTATGTGTAGCGAGAAAGAACAATAAGGATGAGATTACAATAAAAGATAGATCTCGGAATACCAAGCAGCAGAATGGAGTCCCGAGGCATGGACTTGACAAATAACTACTATCAAACACTTTCCATTGCTTCTTCGAGCCCACCAATTAATAACCCTAATTCATTTAGTAGGGGACACATTAATTTGCCGTTTGCTGCAGATGTTCCTAAGACAGATAGAAACTATCTTCAAGCATTGAAACCCAAAGTAGAAGACGAATTTAGAGTCAGTTTGATGTGCAGAGTCGCCCTGACTTTACTTGTGTCAGATTCCTGTATATAGAAATTGATCAGTTATGTAACTGTTATATAATTGTGACAGATTGTGACCATCTGCATCTCTTTATCGCATTCTGCGACCGGCACGTCGTGTCCACTTATTTTCAACAATATTTTTACATGGGCAAGCCGAAAAAGGATCAGGTTGATTGGAAGAACTCACCTGGAGATGTAGAGGCACTGGTTAGGTTCTTACACAGCCAGAGATCACGGGTAGGACAAGGTGGTAATTTTGATAGCACTGTGTACAATGAGGCTGCAAAACACCTTGAAGCTCGTGGTCCTCCAAGCCATGGAGTGGCCAAGACTGCTGTTTTTATTAAGAAGTACTACAGCTCTACAGTATGTTCTCAATGGTTTTTTCTATCTTCTTTAGCTAATTAGGTTGATCATTGTATAGCTCCGAAAGCTTCACACAGATATCCTTGCAGTCATTCAGAAAACCTATACTGGAGCTTCAGGATGGACTTACAGTCATGAAGGTGGCTTCAATGTTGTTTCTGCTACTGAGGATGCTTGGAGGAACTTCGTATCTGTTCACAAGCAGTTTAAACCTTTCAAAACAAGTGGATGGCCTCTCTGGGAGCTGATGCATGAGATCGTTCCGACTCAGGCCAGAGGAGTCCATGTCTTCAATGCTGCATCCCAGGATACAGCACAGGAAACTGGTGATTCACTATCCGAGCCGGAGTTAGACCCCCGTTTGCGTTCTGCTACTCCCTTACAGGATGTCGAAAATCGTTCTCCCTCCGAGGATTCTGCCATTTCCGAGTCACAGATCACTTCATCCCAGGCTTCTGATGAATCACAGGATACTTTGTCCCAGGTTTCCATGCAGGTCTCCTCCACTTTGTTGCAGACCTCTGTCACTTCATCACAACTACAGAAAACTCCTGCGCCGAAACGTGCATCCTCTGATATAGCTGACACTCCGACACCCTGGAGTAGCAAACGTGTGCGTTTGACAGGCCCTGAAACGATTCATTCACTGGGGCAGTCTGTACATGGTATCAGTGACATGCTACGTGACATTTTCGGCACAACTTCTAAATTGACTGCACTTTCCCCTTCGAAAAAGCTAGCTATTGCCTGGCAGCGGATCAAGGAGGATGTCCAGGGTTTTTATATCTCAGATGATCAAGCTACTGACTTGAAAATCCTATTTGCAAGGGACAATGCAGCTGCCGATGCATATGGTGCAGAAGAGGATTCTGTCGATCGTGCAAAAATTGCTGCAAAGCTTTTATATTAAATAGTCTTATCCATACACTCATTTGAATATGATATATCCATTTTAATGTCTAATCTAATGGAGCTATTTCCATTTCATCTTTATCTACATCCATTGCATCAACTCCGCCCTGCTTATGGTATTCCTCCAGAATGGATAGGTAATTTTCCCACATTTCATTTGCCAATCTATCCCGGGCAATTTCTGCATGCCGTTTTTCTGCCCATGATATTTTCTCCGATGTAGCTAGGGATCCAAAATCAATTTCCTGCTGACGACGTTGGCCTGGAAGTGGATCCTCCGCCTGTTCATCGAGAATCTAACAATCAAGATCTGCCTGATCATGCTCCAAAATGAAGTTGTGAATAGCAATCAGAGCTGAGGGGATGCGGGCCTGTATATCCATCGCATAGTGGGGTGATGTCGTCAAAATTGCCCAGCGCTTCTTGACCACACCAAAAATACGTTCAACAACATTTCGGGCAGAAGCATGGCATAGATTGTAAAGCTCCTGTGCATTTTTTGGGCTGGTAAATTCATAGTGAATCTAACAATGGTAGATAGTTCTACTTGAATCCACTCACCGCTGATTAGCACGGCCCCATTCCGCTAGATGATACCGCACACTCCGATATGGTACCAGAAGTGCATCACATATACCAAAGCCTGCATCAGCCAAGTATGATTTACCAGGAGGGATAGGAAAGTCCTTTAAACGGGCTTTGCCATACATTGTTGCATCAGCAGCACAGCCATCCCATCCACCAATGAACAAAAGGAACCACATGTCAAATGAAACAGCAGCTAGACAGTTTTGGGTAACACCGCCCTTCCGATTACGGGCTGAATGTATATTCTCAGCAGTCGGTGTGCAATTGATATGCATACCATTGATTGCACCGAGCACATCCTTGAAGAATGGATGATATTTTGGATTATTGAATATTGCATCTGGTATAGGATCATGAGGACCAGGAATGCACACGTATTTGTTGTAGAATTTGGGTCCAGACAAAATATCCAATATTTTGCGGAAATGTCTGCAGAGAATATCAGACACTCAATTGGATATGTAGCAGACAGATGATTACTCAGATATTGTGGACTTCGAGTGCTGGAACCGCTCAGCTACATGATCTATAGCAAGCGCAGTGACACAGGTGTAGAGAAAAATGGCCAGTGATTCTTCAAGTGTGATTGTAGACTTCTCAGGCTCCATATATCCCATACACCTAATCTGTAGTACCAAGGCAAGAAACACATGCCTACGCATCCCAAGTGCAATATAAGCACACCCTGGATGGCCTACAAGAAGTTCTTCAAGCCATTTTTTTCCAGTGAGAGAGGAGGTATACATGTCTTCCTTGCTGTAAAAAGGTGTGAGATACATTGATACACCAAGGGTAATGTATTGTATCAGAGAAACAATTAGTGTGATTACCCATTTTGCTCTGGTAGCTTCAGAAACTTCAGATAATGGAGAAGGCATTGCGAAATGAGTGCAGAAAAGCAAAAGATCACAAAATGATGAGTGGGGGCTCGTTACTGTGAAACAAGCGCTTTCTCCCGTTGTCACGTGTGATTTCAATCAAAGATCAATTTGTATATACAGGAATCTGACACAAGTAAAGTCAGGGCGACTCTGCACATCAAACTGACTCTTAAGGATCTTCTGGGAATTAAATTGGAAAGTCTGATTCCAAGGGAATTGATAGAAGAACAACAGCAGATGGTTGCATTGAATAAAGACCTCATGGAGGCAAACATGAAAGAAATCAGAGCTGTGAAGTCGTTACAGTCACACTTCAAAGAAGGAGCAGACATTATGATGCAGCTAACAGCAGTAATGGCACAAATGGCCAAAGAAAATGCTAAAGGAATGATTAATTCGATACCACAGGGTGGGTCATTGAATTAATCTAATAGATTTGAAAGAAATACAACACCGAGAAGTTCAAATGGAACTCAGTGGGCATGTTTCTTGTGCAAGTCGACAGATCATTTTATGAATGAATGTCTACACTTGCTTGAATTGACGAAAAAAGGTTGGATGATGCCTGAAGGAGGTGACTCAAAGTGTTACAAATTGAGAGACAACACTAGAATGCCTCAAGACGATCCAAATGTACCTCGATACAGGAAGATTGAACAAATGGTGAAAGATTTGGGATGGGATCATGCTAAATCCTATTTTGCAAATATAGAAGATGACAAAGATGATAAAGTCATGGACCAGCAGATGAATCCTAATGTCAATCTAGCTGTTTGGATGACCAGAATAGAAGAACTATCGGATAGACTGGGAAATTTGGAAGCACACAGGGAAGATGATGTTCGTATGTTTAACCAAGATAGTTCGAATGGAAAAAAAAATAAGTACTCCAATGAAGGAGCAAGATTGGTCCAAGAGAACTTTAAGATCCAATGCTGTAGCTCCGGAGGAAAGTGATAAAGCAAAGCAAAATCAAATTAATGACAATATGAGAAGATTAGTATTTGATGGGGTGCATATACCCAAGAAACCAGGTTTAATACCAGGTAAATTGGTTGAAACGACTAATGGAAATCAGAAAACAGTGAGATTTGAAGCTCCAAAGTCCATAGATTGGTCTTTGAAGAAGCCCTCAGTCATGATTGAAGATGATGATGAATCTGATGACAAAGATACTATTAAATTAATTCCTTCGTCAAGACCAACGAATCAAATTAATAGCAAACATAGACTGTATGATCATGTTCAACCTAGAACATATCATCCTATTCAAATTAATATGCCTACAAAGGTACCAAGAGATCAAATGAATCAAATTGATAGTCATGGATATACTCCAGCCTATAAAATTAGAAATGAAGTCTCGAGACCAGGTGTAGAAGAAGACATAGCAAAGAAGATATTTGATGCTAAAGTTGATTTGAGTACAGAAGAATTAGCAGCTTTATCACCTGCTATTACAAAGATTATTATGCGCAAGATACGCAATAGAAGAGTCCGTCCAAGGACTAAAATGAATAACTATGTATCGACTTTATCTGAAGATGGAGAGACTGAAATTTTGGATGATCCATCCAGGGTACAGATGATTGATACATGCATTAGAATTGAAGATCTTTGGCAGGATCAGGCTGATATGTTTGAAGTTCTGACTGAAAGTCATAATGACATTCCTGTGGGATCTATAGTGTAGAAAGATATTGTTGAAAGTTTTCTATGTGATTTGTCCATTGATGATGAATGAAGAAATATTGCCATAGTTGCTAATCAAAGCATGGCATATGAAGATCATAATGATCATCCAGTGGTAGTAGCAAATTAATCTAATGGATTACATGCTGTTACTCCCAAAATCAATAATAAAGATGAAGAGATTGAGAGTGTATTGGACCAAGGTTCACAAATTGTTGTGATAGACCGATTGATAGCTATAGGTCTAGGAATTACTTGGGATCCAGAATTTATGATTAGAATGCAAGATGCAAGTGGTAAATTAAATCAAACTCTTGGTTTAACAAGAAATTTGGTGAAGTTATGGTGTATTTGCAACTACACGTACAGAATAAAGCTTCATTTCAAGTGTTATTAGGGAGACCTTTTGATGTCTTGGTGGAAAGTGAAATTAAGACCTTTGGAAATGGAGATTCCGAGATAACAATCAGCGATCCGAACTCACACAAGAGGGTTACTGTAGGAACCTATCCCCATGGCCAGAAAGGTCGAAACAATTAAATTAATACCTCAAGGTATAATGACCCAAAGAATGTTTCACCTGATAATGAAAAATCAACAGGTGAAAATGATTCAAAGGGAAATTTTCATTCCTCGATGAGTTGAGTAGTGACCAAGGAGAGGATGAATACACTATAAGCTTCCACTTTGATGAAAAACAAAATATTGTATTAGATGGATACAAAAGATGTGAACAAGAAACGTTCTCCAAGAAAGAACTTTCTGAAGCATATGTTCTTGCGTCTAGAGAGCATTTGAAGTCTCAAGATGATCAAGCTGAAGAAATAATTGATTGTTACCTTAATCAAAAGACAATTGGGAATAAACAAGTATTTTGTGTATGGAGAGATGGTGTATTAGGCAAATTTGACAATCCATTGAATAATGATCAATTCAATCTAAATCCTATAAAGTCATTCTTCCTTTGAAACAGAAGAATCAAGCCTAAACCCATACGAAGAAAAGTTTGGAAAAGACGATTTGTTGAACCTATACTACAAAATTTTAGTTTGGGGGAGAATTGTGATAAATCTGAAACCACAGAGACCACACAGAATCAATGTAATAATGAAAACACCTCTGAAACGGTCAGAGATGATAATTGGAATAAACCTAAAAACTCAGAGAACTAGGAAGAGAATGGTTTGATATGAGAAACTCAAAAGAGGAACTGAATCATTCCAAAGATCTCAACCGAGTTTTGAGAAAGTACGATATGAGTTAAGGCAATGAAGAAAACAAATGGCCCAAGGCTCAAAAAATAAGAAAGAGAATGTTTAACTAGATAAACTGAATGAACTTCCAACAAGTAAACTCTAAGAACGTATTAAATTTAATTAGCATGATGAACCTACAATCAATTTAATAGATGAAATGACTAGACAAATGGTTAATAAAGCCATAGGAATCGAAAAATCAATTAACTTGAATACAGAAGAAGAGTTTACAAAGTACAAACCTGTTGACAAGAAGGTTATTTCTATAAAGGCAATGTTACCAGATGAATTTAGAATTGAAAGACATATTCATGGTGATCCATTGAAGGAACTGCCTGAATTGTCAAAACATCCTAAACCATTTGCACCTACGGGAAGGTATATGGAAGAAAGAAAAGAGATAATAGACAAGAATCATCCTGAAGGATTTTTATAGAAACAAGAGAGAGATCTTATGCACGAAATGATGTGTAAACAGGAAGCAGGTTTTGCTTGGCAACCAAGTGAAGCTGGAACCTTTAAAAATGAATTCTTTCCACCTGTGAAAGTACCTGTAATTCTACATGAACCATGGGTGTTAAGATCATGTACACCGTGTAACTGTGCCAAAGCCACAAGGTGTCTAAGTGCGGAAGACGAGTGGGACAGTAGTGAAGTTATTAACAACACCGCCGTTACGCCGTTAGTCCCCGGAGATCGAGAGTAGAGAAGGGAGGAACTGAGAAGCAGCCAAGTCGGAGCGGCGGTATCGCCGGTGACGAGGAGCGAGCCAGAGGACGTCTAGTCCTAAGGTAGCGTAGAGAGTACTTCAAGGTGGAGAGCCTGAAGACTTAGAGGAGCACAGGGTTAAGGAGGGAATCTAAGTCGATCTAAGTCGATAATTAAACTGAGGAACTACAGTAGCATACAAGCAGTATTTATATCTACGGAGCGGCGCAACGGTGCGGAGCGCCAGACTAGCTACTAGGAGTTATACGTGTAGTCCTGCAGGGTAAAGTAAAAGACAATAAGAAGGGACTAGAATGAAAGGGTATGTGTAGCGAGAAAGAACAATAAGGAAAAGATTACAATAAAGGTGGATCTTCGGAATACCGAGCGGCGGAAAGGAGGCCCAAGGCATGGGCTTGACAATGGGTTGAAAGGAATATACCAATTCTGCCAGGTATCTTTGAGGATATCTGCAAAATAATTAAAAGCAAAATTGACACAGGAATATATGAACCATCAAATGCTAGTTATTGTTCAAAATGGTTCTGTGTCATTAAGAAAGATGGAAAGAGTCTATGATTAGTACATAGTTTGGAACCTTTAAATAAGGTTACTATTCAACACTCAGGTGTACCTCCTGCAACTGCAGATCTAGCAAGATCCTTCAGTGGAAGATCTTGTGAAGGAACCTTAAATTTATACGTTGAATATGATGAACGTGAATTAGATCAATTGTCTAGAGACATGACAATGTTTCAAACGCTGTATGGGCCACATAGGTTAGTAAAACTACCTATGGGGTGGACAAATTCCATACCTATATTTCACGACGATGTGACATATATTCTATGAGATGAGATACCACATGTAACAATTCCTTACATTGATGATGTACCTGTAAAAGGACCATTAACTCGATATGAATTACCAGAACTAACCCCCCCCCCCCCTAAGAAACTGATGCTAGTTATATTAAAGGCATGCTAGATAATCCTAGTTGTGGTCCTAATGCAACCATAAACCATTGGATTGAGCATGTACGAAACTATCACTTTACATTAATCCATGTAAAAGGTGCAACCCATGGTCCTGATGGACTATCACAAATCACACCTGGTGGATGGCAAACAAAGCATCCAGATGTAAATCCAGAAGATTACGTTGATGAGGATGGTGGGGAACCAATTAATTTTATTATGGGAGATGGGGAAACAGAAAAGCTATATCAATTTGATGACTTTAAAGATCAAATTGACCCTAGAAGTGGTTACCTATACAAAACAGCTCAAGAAGCTGATGATATTGAATTAGATGTACAAGAAGCTCTGGATGAAGAGCGCAGCTATGAGATTCATAGAAACCACATGTTAGAGTCAAAAGACGCGACATGCAAAGTCTTCAGTAGGAACTTGTTTCCTATGTTTGATGAAGAATTTGTACAAAACAATCTATACCCAGAAGCTCATAGATCTTCTGAAGGTAGTAGTTAGATGAATTGATTCCTGTGATTAGGGATTATTTGTCGAACCCAAAGGATGAATTCTTGGGTAAAATGTCAAAAGAAGAACAGATTAAATTTATTAGATCGATTAAGAAATTCCAAGTGAACGACCAAGGAAGGTTATATCATAAAAATACTGATCAATCTAATCAACCACAATTAGTGATGGAAAAAGAGAAGTGTATGCATGATTGTTTGGGACACAAAGGAGTCTTTGCAACGAATGATTTCTTGCAAAAATGATTCTGGTGGCCTGATATATATAAAGACGTGGAATGGGAGGTGAGATCATGCCAGGAGTGTCAGAATAGACAGATGAAGCTGTTGAAAGCACCTCTTACCTTGATGCATACACCTTCATTGTTTCAGAAGGCACATGTTGATACAATGATAATGTCGATTCCATCTAATGAATGTAAATACATCATCCATGGAAGGGATTCACTGTCATCATGGTCTGAAGCCTGGGCAGTAAAACATGAGAATGCTAGGACTTTAGGAAAATGGTTCTTTGATATAATTTGTCGTTGGGGATGTCCTGAAGAAGTAGTGACCAATAATGCAGGTCAAATGAAGAACATGTTAGCTTGGTTAAAAGAGATGTTTGGGATTAAAGGAATAAGAATTTCCGCTTACAACTCTCAAGCTAATGGAAAGATTAAAAGAGCACATTTGGACATACGCCAGGCTTTAATTAAAGCAACTGGTGGAGATATATCTAAATGGTTCTACTTTTTGAAGATGATACTATGGGCGGATAGAGTAACACCGAGACATGGTCTAGGTTGTTCTCCGTATTTCCTGGTAACAGGTGCCAAACCATTGCTTCCATTTGATATTGTGGAATCAACTTGGTTGGTGAATCCACCTAATAGAATCTTAACTAGAGATACATTAATTGGATATCGTGCTCAAGCTCTGTCGAAACATAACTCATTCATTGAGAGAGTATGACATAGAGTAGATGCAAACAAAAATATAGACATACAATTAAAGACTGGAACTTCAAACCAGGGCAACTCATCCAGGTTAGGAATTCTGGGATTGAAAAGAGTTTGGATAAAAAAATGTATCCAAGATATAGAGGACCTATGGTCATAATAAGGCATACTAAGGGTGGCTCTAATATCATTGCTGAAATGTATGGAACAGTGCTCAAAGAGAAGGTCAGACCCTTCAGAGTATTGCCACATTTTACACGGAATGAACCAATTGAATTGCCAAACAATATTCACAAACTTATTGACTTAACTGCCGAACACTTAGATTCAATGGTTGAAGATGAAGATGAATATTAGATGACACCAGAAAATAATTATATATTTGATGCCATAGCGCATCTGAGACTCTCAGACATAAACTCTGACGACAAACTCAGTGAGGAAGAGGATCAATAATTAGATTGAAACTCTGAATGATATACTGTTACAAATGAGCATCATAAAAAGAGCAGTGATGGTAAGATGATGCATCTACTATACAGCTGTGATGGCGTAAAGACAGTAGGTATGAAATAGTGAATACGAATAAGAGGAATTATGTAAAGATAGTGAATCAAGACAAAGAACTGTTTTTATAGAATTTATGGATTTTGAATAATTATATCTGAATGATGGTGTATCAGTCTAAATAAAAATTAATTAAATTAAATACAGACCTAGGCAGAGATGTGTCCTTTGTCTTCCATCATGGGAGTAACACCATGAGTGAACAGAGTAGTGGCATGTTCAACAGTTTTAATAACTGGAACAGCAATCTCCGTAGGAGTGACGACAGTGTCCTCAGAACCAGTGGTGGGAATACTCTGAGCAGTAGCAAAACTTGCATCAGAAGCAGAAGAGTCCAAGTCAGAATCTTGGCAACTCTTCAGGATGCGGCAAGCTTCGTCTGCAATTACCTTGGCAATACGTGCACGAGTTGCATAAGTTTTGACTAAGTTTGCGTTAAATTCAAATTCAGCTGCCTGAAAGTTCAGCATAGCAACAATGAATTTGGTACTTTGCAACTCAAGAGGAGCTGGCAGAGTATTGAGATTAGAAGATACAACCTGAGCAAGGGCATGATTGATATGCTTGCTGTGGGTCACTGAAACAAAATAAGAATCCATTTGGAGGATTTGAATTAAATTGAATCACCTTTGTCTTCAGCAAGACATGGTATACAGTTAGAAGAAGCATGACTGTTGGAAGTGCAATGAATCTTGCTGGAACAAGGAAGAACGTCGTTAACAGCAGACTTATCATCCTTATTGGAACCAGTGGTAGGATAGGGAGTGCTGTGATGATTCTACAACAAATAATAAGCCATAGCTAAGAACCTTACACCATAAAAACTCACCTTGATAAAGGAGAGGGCTGGCTTCTGTTTGAAACTGTGTTCAGTTCCTGACACCAACTCATCCTCGGAGGCTGAGTTCATCTGGATGAAATTGATAAATCAAATTAAATGAGATTAGATCTGTAGATTTACCTCAACATCAGAGTCAAAACGAACAGATCTAAGTTCATGTTTGACGTCACAAGAGAGAGCAGATCTTGTAACTTTCTTCTTGGACTTCCTGATAAAACGAGAATTTGTTAGAGTAAGCTAGATACCTATCGTACAGTAGTCTACGATTAGACGCTCGCAGCATGTATATGGGATGGATCGTGGGAGACGGCTCTTTACCTTTCACCGTCACCAACGATTCCGTCCCAGGTATGTACCCGTAATCTTTACCTTTCGCCGTCACCAATAATTCCGTCCCAGCCTTCCCTCGAGTACTTGATTACCCTGCCGCTAACGAGCTTGCCTCATTTTTGTGTGAAAGAGAATGGAAGGAATCTAATGGGCACTCCAACCAACCAATCTAATACACAATATGCGAGTTCACTGCTATCAAATTTATTTAATAGCAAGGGGTAGCGTTGGCAAAGGTTCCGCAAAGCTTTGAGAGCTAAGTAAGAAGCTTTGATCAATCAATTTGAATCGTTCTAAGGATTCGATATATTCCTTTGATCAAGGTAGATTCAGCACGATTTGTGCTTTGGTTTGTATTGATTTGGGTATATCAAGAATTGGGGGTTTGAATCAAAGTAAATTAAAACCGAAACACACAGACCCCTACGGAGGGCTAGAACTATATGCTGGCACAACCACACAGCGTGATTTGCCCTTAAGACCAACAACTGATCCTAAGTTCGAAGAATACCCAACAACTGGATATACTTCTCGCAGTCACAAGGAGCAGAACACAACGTTCCTATACTCACAAGTGCCGGGCCCGAATGGCTGCTAGCGAAGAGGTTTCAGTCTGGCGGGAGTGTGTCTTTCCTTTTTACGGATTAGCACTGCAACGTCGTCCCAAAATCACTTGTATTCCAGATACATCGGATCGCTATTTATACATACAGAATATAGAGTCGCATAGTACAATTAATTTAATACAATCAACGTTCGGAACCGCAAGGAAACTTCTACACTCAGTCAGATACCATTTAATTTGAATCTACATGTCCTTATTTGGTCCATATTGGTTCCAAGATTCTAGTATACCTCCAAACATAGGCAGGTACTTCAATATTCATTTAATTTAATTGTTTTTGGAGGATGACTCGAATGGTGTTCAACTGTCATTGCGGTTCAACACTTACTTTGATCGTTTGTCACCTCGTCCGGAGGCAAATCAGCTCTCCTCGATTCTAATCCTATCAATCTGATTCATCTGGATTAAACTAATTGCTTCTCTCTTTCAACAGACACCCATTGTGCCTATACTCTATCAAGGGAGTTACGCATAGTATTCATTTAATTGCATTCTTCAATGTTTTCTACGTCAGGACTCTTTGACATTCATTTGATATGTCTTCGGAGCCTCGCAGTACTTCGATCGTTCTTCTAGTCATTTTCCTCAACCATGCAACTTGATTGGTCTATTAGACTAAATCGCAGTCTTTTAGATTAATGCATGATCTCGTTCTAGAAGGAGTATTTGATAATTCCTGAGTTCTAGAAAGTCATTTCGAGTCAATCCTCGGTTCATGGTCACTTGAGTAAGTTCTTCCAAACTCCTGCCAGTGTAAGGTCCAATAAGAATACCCTTGGTATGTCATACGTGAATGGTCATCCTTTGGATGTAGTCCGAGTCTGGTATAATCCTGCTTGACACACAGGTAGACTGCTATCCGTAGGTAGTATCAGGGATGGGTAAACTAACCAACTTGTGGTAGTATGGGTATATGGTCCCTTCAACTTATTAGACTGATTCAGTATTGACTTTGACTGTCAATCTGGGTCTCAATTACAGTCCTCTTGATACGAATCTATACGTGAAAATGTCACAATTCACAACATAGACGTCTAGCCAAAATTTAGGCGTGTCACCGCTGCTGCCGCCCAACCTGATCAACAGGTTATGGGCCCCGCGCTTTTAATCGCCTCGGGAACTAGTGACGTGTCAATTCTAAAATTCAATCATCCTGCTTTTTTCTGCTTCTCCATCATCACACGATGTCCGAAAGTCCTAAAATCAAAAAGCTCACCCGATCTGATTGGCCGAGATGGATCAAAGACTTTCAAGCCTATGCTGGGACCAAAGGTTTGTGGGGAGTCTGCATTGGTAGGGAAGTTGCTCCCACACCTGCTGACCCAAACGCTCTCATGCGCGATGAACACATCGACATGCTTGCATATGAAACTCGTTTAGATAAGGCTAGTGGGGAGATTTGGCTGACAGTATCAGACGAACTACGCGAAGACATCCGAGATGTGCAAGGAGACCCGAAAGCCATGCTGGATACCCTGGAAGCCAAATACAACAAGAAGGCACCAGGTAGTCGCTTCAAGGCTTACAATGCCTTCCTTAATACTAGCATCCGTCTTGACATACCGTCTCTTGAAATTCTTCCTGCCCTCCTCACTGACATCAGTGCTGCTATGTCAACTGTTCGCCGATTGCGTCCCGACAATTATGGGCTGGATGAAATGGAGGCAGAACTTGCCACCATGGTTGCTCTCCGTGCATTGCAGGTATCGGATAATCCTGACCACCGTCTACTTGCCTCCAGTTTCATGATGAACCCAAATCTGAGCTGGACTGACATCGTATCTGCCATCGACCGCGACTTTCAGTCCAAGTCTGAGCCTGGTGTCAAGCAGGAGGAGGATACAGTGCTTGCCATGGCTGCTGGTCTTGGACCTTGTTTTCTCTGTGATGGGCCACACTATGTGAAGGACTGCCCTGATCTTTCTAAAGCAAAAAGGAACCTTGCATCATCACCATCTATGAACCGTCGAGGACGTGGCAGAGGCCGAGGCACTGCAAACTCTGCGACTTCATCCCCAAAGCCAGAGTCATCCTTACCAACAGCTAATTTAGCCGCCACAGCCGAATTTGCTGGAAAGGCAAGTGCCTTTGCCTCTGCTGATAATCGCTCTCAGTGGTTCCGCTCCGAAGCTTCAGCTAACTGGAACACTGATACAGGTGCCTCTTCACACATGACACCTCACCGATCCTGGTTCATTTCCTACAGCAAACACCGAGTTCCAGTGCAACTAGCTGATAATAGCGTTATCTACTCCGAGGGGATTGGGTCAGTTGAGTTTCAGCCTGATGGTGGGGGAACATCCGTAATCTTTCACGATACACTTCATGTTCCGGATATTGCTTGCAATTTACTTTCACTCTATCATCTCACTTCCCGAAAAGGCTATGAGATCCATGTCCACAATCGGACAGTGAAGTTCATGTTGGACAAAAAGACTGTATTCACTGCAACTATTAATCACTCGAACATCGGCTACCTGAATGGAACCATGATCCTCCCTGCAACTGCTAATCGAACATCCACCCTTCCTTTGAATCATGAACTCTGGCATCGCCGTTTCGCACACCTAAACCATGATGGGGTCATGCTCACATTCGAGAATAAGCTAGTTGAAGGAATGAAGTTGGACTCCAAGAAGCCTCCAGATCCCATCTGCGAGTCATGCATCATGGGAAAGCAGCATCGCAAGAACATTCCTCAGGGCCCTGGGACGCGGAGGACAAAACGACTCCACCTTGTACACTCAGACCTTAAAGGACCACTACCACCTACGCGTGAGGGCTACCGCTATTGGATGACATTTGTTGATGATTCGAGTCGATTCCGTGTGATAGCATATCTCCGAACCAAAGGTGAGGCATCAAAGGCAATAAAAGTGTTCCGAGCCTATGCACAGGCTATAACAGGTGAAGAGTGGTTAATCTTGTGTTGCGATGGTGGCGGGAAGTATATTTCGAATGAACTGAAACTTTGGGCAGCTGATGTTGGCCTTCAAATACAGTTCACTGAACCTGATGAACCACATCAGAATGGAGTAGCTGAATGTGCTAACCGTGACATGATTGAAGCTGTTGACACACTCCTTCAGGAGTCTGGGCTTCCGAAATCATTCTGGCGTCTGGTGTTGAACTTCTACCTTCATTCATTCAATCGAACACCTACATCTGCTCTACCCAATACTACCACACCATACACGGAATAGCACCTTCATCGACCTGATGTATCCTATTTCCGTATCTTTGGATGCTTGGCTTACGTGCTAATCCCGAAGAAGAAGCGCAAAGCACTCGATCCTCACTCACGTAAATGCATATTTGTTGGATATCCGTATGGAACCAAGGCCTGGCTTTTCTGGGATCCAGAATTGAAAAAGTTTTACACAAGTAGTCATGCGGCATTTGATGAGCATTATCTCCCTGGGAATTCACCTACAAAGCTTGCCACAACCCCACATGCACCACCATATGTGTCCGATGATGGGGAGTATAGCAATGACACCACTCCTCTGACACATTCAAATGACCCCCAGCCCCACCCCCCTCCGCCTGATAACCCACCTGATTTTCCAGAACCAAGTCCCCAACTACCACCTTCACCCCCCCCCCCCCCCCCCCCCCCGACCCGTCAACTACGCAATCGAGAGAACAGACCTAATTTGAATGAGAATCAATTAGCGCGAAGTCAGATGACACATTGGAAGCAACCAGCTATACATGAGTCCCCTCCATTATCCCCAGAGCCCATCCGAGACCCCATTAATGGTTCCTCTCCTCTCTCCTCTCCTCCTGACACCCCTTGCACCCAAGTCGAAGATTTACCAGATGAAGATGATGAGATCCTTGCAAATCTCTGTACTGCAGGCCTTCATTTTGTCTATACTGGGCAGTATTATGACCGAATCACGCACGATGAGGCGCTGTCATATGCATTCAATACATCCCAGCAAGCCATGAAGGCCCCTCGGCATCCAGCACAGAGCCCCGCTCATATGCTGAAGCCATGAGGAGACCCTCAGAGGAACACCTACGCTGGCACGAAGCTGCAGTCCAGGAGATTGATGCCCTTGTTGAAAATGGCACATTCAAGCTTGTAGAGCTTCCCCAAGGACGGCATGCCATCGGAAGCCGGTGGGTATTCAAAGTCAAACGCAATGCAGATGGGTCCATTGAACACTATAAAGCACGACTCGTCGCTCAGGGTTTTAGTCAACGTCCCGGTTTTGACTACAATGAAACCTTTGCCCCTACTCCCAAATGGGCAGCACTCCGTACCATCCTCGCACTAGCTGCAACTGAAAGTCTTCAACTCTATAGTGTTGACATCTCGAATGCATTCCTCAATGGAGAGCTCAAAGAAGAGATATGTATGAAGCAGCCTGAAGGCTTTAAGGACCAGAACCCGGACTGGGTACTTCGGCTTCGCAAATCTCTCTATGGACTCAAACAGGCAGGTCGTGTTTGGATCGAAACTCTGAACAGTGCTCTATTGGATATGGAATTCAAGCGCATCACATGCGAAAATAGTGTATGGGTCTATGGCCGAGGCGACGACCGTATCTTCATTCCAGTCTACGTTGATGATCTCACAATTGCAGTAAAATCTCATTTGCAGATTGACTGAATCATTAGTCAGCTCAAACAACACTTCAAGCTACGTGAACTTGGGCCAATATCATGGCTACTGGGAGTTGAAATTACCCAGGATCTCAACCGAGGGACAGTCACACTTTCACAAAAGCAGTACTGTCTTGACATCCTTGAATGTTTCGGTATGTCTAACTGTGATTCAGTTGTCAGCCCACTGGATCCCGGAGTACACTTGTCAAAGGAGCACTGCCCTACATCCTATGAGGAAGAATTAGAAATGCGACCCATCCCCTACATCAATGCCGTTGGCGCTTTAGCCTATCTAGCCATCGCCACTCGCCCCGACATTGCATTCACAGTCAGTGTCTTGGCACGCTTCTCAGTCAATCCCGGAATCACTTACTGGAAGGCCGTAAAGCATGTATTCCGATACCTCAAGGGAACATTGAACTACAAAATCACATACACCAGACCTATGACGCCCACTACATCTGTTTCCAACATCTTCCAAGCCTACTCCGATGCAGATCATGGTGGAAACCTAGACAACGGCAGGTCCACTAGCGGCTCTGTCCTTCTCATGGCTGGCGGCGCTGTCAGCTGGGCTAGTCGACTGCAACGGATTGTCACACTCTCAACCACCGAAGCTGAGTTTGTCGCAGCAGTATCCACAGGTCAGGAAATACTCTGGTTCCGAAACTTCCTCACGGAACTGGGTTACTTATTCACTAGTGCTTCAACTCTCTTCATCGATAATCAATCAGCCATATCCGTTGCCAAGGACCCTGAACATCATGGTCGCATGAAACACCTGGATTTGCGATATTACTGGCTTCGAGACGAAGTACACAAAGGCAGAATACGTGTAGTCTACCTTCCAACAAATCTGATGCCTGCCGACATTCTTACAAAGGCAATGGGTCAACAGAAAGTAGCGGACATGGTATGTTTGCTTGGACTTACACCTTAGATACGTATCGAGTCAAGGGGGAGTGTTAGAGTAAGCTAGATACCTATCATACAGTAGTCTACGATTAGACGCTCGCAGCATGTATATGGGATGGATTGTGGGAGACGGCTCTTTACCTTTCGCCGTCACCAATGATTCCGTCCCAGGTATGTACCCATAATCTTTACCTTTCGCCGTCACCAACGATTCCGTCCCAGCCTTGCCTCGAGTGCTTGATTACCCTGCCGCTGCTGCTGCCCAACCTGATCAACAGAATTATCAGAACGCGAAGAGGCCTCGTGATCAGAATGAACAGAATGAGCACAATCGAGGAGACAATTCCTAATGAAAGTGTTCTAAAAGAACTATTAAAGTGGATAGTTATGAATGAAAATTGATACGTACATGAGCATCATTGGCAAAAGCCAGGAACTTGAGATGTTGCTCAAAGTGGGAATCACTGACAATGTCAGGGAATAGTTTGTGCCCGAGGCACAAAGTATCGATAATACTTTGACGAGCAGTCAAATTAGAAACCTGTCTAACATGACTATGAAGTGTAACAGGCTTTTCCTGACAATGAACGTATTAATTTAATACAAATGATTTAAACTGAATGAAGAAAACATACCAAGAGGTCATGAAGATACTCGGTAGACCAACGTAAGACAGAAATTGTTGCTTTGTCAGGGTTGTTCGTCTTCTTGCCTTTGTACGAAGCAAGTAGTTGCTGCAAAGTACCCAAGTGGGGCTCTGCAACTCGAGCAATGTCAAGATCCTTCTTGTGATGGACAGGCATGCTGGGATGAACAATGATAGCAGTTGATGGAACTTTGTATGGAATGAGAGCTTGACTGAGTTTGACTAATGCAAGTCGACTTGGAACAAATGGCATGTTCAAAAGCCAAGTAGCTTGAGCTTTTATACCAGAAGAGTGAAATAAAACTCCTGACCAAATTAGGACAACTGAGGACAGTTGGATTCTTTAGTTTGGGGGAGGAAGATATCAATTTAATTGAAACATTACAAATTTTTAATTAGACTAATAGTATTGCAAATGCAGCGACCCAGAATTGATCAATGTGATTATCCAGAAGGTCAAAATATGCGGAATGAGTAAAGAAACTGTGCTTAGAACCTGAAAGTGGAGTTGAGAATACCTCCCGACGTTGTTATGATCAATGGCGAACGGAGATCGACTTGAGTACTCAGGATAAAGACAGTAAAGTATTGCGGATCTGATCTTGCGTGAAACTTCATGACAGGAGCCGGAGTTGAGTCTTACTTTAAAACTCCTATTGATAGGAGGAGCTTAGAGCAGAGCTTGATGATTTACAATCACTCATTCAAATCAAAACAAGAATCGAGTTGAAAAGGGTAGTAAGAGAACCATAAAAGTATTTGTTCATTCAAATTAATATGAATGAGCAGGTACCTTTCTTTAATCAATTTGAATGGGATAACCAAAGTAATTGGCCCAGGACTTTCTCTCACTCATTCAAATTAAAATGTGAAAATGAGCATAAAAGCTCGTAAATTGATATATATAGGATAGCAGTAAGTTATCCACAACTAAAGTAATAGGTACCATACCTACAAGAAAGATACAAAAAGTATTAGATTAATAAATCTAATTAAAACAAAATGGTCTCGAGCAACTGGTGGTACTGAAAAGGTCCATTATGAGATGTTGGGTTTACAACCTGTACGATGACAGGACCACAAGTGGTCAGCTATGATGGTGTAAAGGGCATGAAAGCCCATCTGTGTATAACAAAATTTAAAAATAAAGGAAAATAAAAGAAAAACGCCCCG